AATGCAGCTGAGTTGTAAATGAAGTTCAGAGTAAAACACCCACTGGTCAACAAAGCACAAGAGAGGCCAGGGCAGGATGGTCTGTAGGAGGCCAGCCTGGGCTACGTGGTAAGTGCTAGGCCCGCCTGGGCTACATAAATAAAGAAACAAGCAAACAAGCAGTCATAGCAAACACAGTTAGCCAATATTTATCAAACTCCTGCACGTTTGAGCTGGGATTTAATAAGGTCTGACCTTGATCAAGTGTTTCACTTAATGAGTGATACAGATTCTGTTGCAATTCCCATACCAGAATCTTTCCTGTGTATCTGCAGCCATAGCAGGGTTGTGCGGTGGGAACCAGCCTCACGGTGAGAATGCATCCTGAGTTCTCTTTCTTCCTGTGCTCTTACTACGCCCAAGGCATGCTAGCACTGCACTTGCTAGCCCTACCTACCCCTTGGCATCCGATTAACTAGGCCTATGATGCCTATGCAGTGATTCAGGAATCAACTAACCAGGATGTAAGCTGGTCATTCCAGCCCTCCAGAGAGTTAGTCAGAAGAACTAAGAATCTGAGACCAGTTTGGGGTGGGGTGTATGTCTCAATAAATGAATGAATAAATAAATAGAATTTAAGTGGAACTGCCAGGTGGTTGTTTTGCCCTTCTTCCATGTTGAGTGAATGTTTTACTAATCAGCATAATCCCTCCATGTATTAGCAACTGTTTTGAGAAATAAATGCCTCCATCCAGCCAAGGCAGAGGCCAATGCTCCATTCTAATTTCGTTGACTTTCATAAAGGAGTTACCAAGTAAGACAGACTTTAAAAAAAAGGGGGTGGGAGGAGATTGTAAATCAATCAAAATGCAGCATTAAATAAAAGTGTTTGCCGTCTCCAAGCCATCCGTCGACGTTTAAATACTCATGTTTAAGCACTCCTTTCATCTACTATATTCCATCCCCACTACTGTTTGTCATGGTTGGGTTTTGTTGGGTGACGTAGCAATAGTTTATTATGAAGCCCAGACTAGCTTCACATTGGCAATCTTTCCAGGATTACAGGCATGTGCCACCATGGTAGGCCTGATGTACATGTGTGTGTGCTTGGTGTACTCACATGTGCATGCGTGTTCATGTGTGTGTCCATGCATTGTGAGGTCTGAAGTGAAAGTCAAGTATCTTCCTCAATCACTCTTCACCTTATATATCGAGACAGACCTGACCTAGGGGTCCCACCTCGGCATCACTGAGTTCAGGGATGACAGGCAGCAGCCACACCTTCCTTGCCTGGCTTCTGGGTACCTGAATTCCAGTCCTCACATGAGTGGGGCATACGCTTTATCTAGTGAGCCACCCCCTCAGCCCTTTGGTCTTTTCTGACTCCCAGTTCATGACTACTTGTTCTGACCAGAGGCATCATACTATTGGTAAATACTTCCATTATTCACATGGTCCTCTCAAGCGATGGAAGCAGGTGGGGGAGGCATGGCATCGAAGCCAGTTTGCAGCACTGAGCACATTCAGCCTAATTGCTTTGTCTTTTGATGAACAGCCAAACCAGTGATGGAACACCTCAGATGTGTATCTTTCATCTCGATGACCAGTGTCCCGCCAAATCAGGTAGGCCTCGATAAAATTCTGACCTGGTCTCCTCAGTGGTGAAAAATGATGCATTCATCCAAATTAAAAAAGAAATGAATATGCTGTCTTAACAGATGCAGCCAATAGAAGATTAGTCACGGACAAAAATGGCACGACTTCTGAATAACCGATTTTCATATTTGTTCTGCTTGAGATGGGGTTTCATGTATGTAGACTGGCTTTGAACTCAGTATGTAGCCAAACTCTGAACTTCTGATCCTCCTGCCTCAACTTACCAAGTGCCTAAATTGTGAGCTTGTACTTCCGTGCCTCACTTGTGTCATGCTAGAGGCTGAATCCAGCGCTCTTTGTAGGGTACCACCGAGCACTCTGCAACTGAGCTACACCTCCTAACATTTCCTTACTAAAATAGTCCAGAGTATCAGTACGATAAAAATGTAGTTCTTGTGTGTATAAGTGCGAGCTGGGGGTTGTATCCTGGATCTCTCTCACCCGCTCAACACTCTATTCCTGGGATAGAGCTCCAGTTCAAAACAAATTACTCTTTGATGTAGAATTTAATCAGTATCAAAACTGACTCTACACCCATGCTGCAGTCCTTTTGCACATTGCTGTGGGAATGTTCTGTATGTCAACTGTGTTGCTCTGATTGGTTAATAAATAAAACACTGATTGGCCAGTAGCCAGGCAGGAAGAGGAGAATTCTGGGAAGTGGAAGGCTGAGTCAAAAGACGCTGTCAGCTGCCACCATGAGTATCAACATGTGAGATACTGGTAAGCCACGAGCCATGTGGCAAGATACAGATTTATAGAAATGGGTTAATTTAAGAGATAAGAACTAGATAACTAGAAGCCTGAGCCATTAGGCCAAACAGTTAGAAATCATATAAGAGTCTGTGTGTTTATTTCATAAGTGGGCTTCTGGACTGCGGGGGCCTGGCAGGAGCTGGAAAGCAGCTCTCCAGCTACAGCACACTGTGGAGAGAAGGCCAACTGAAGTTCCAAATCCAGTCCACCTTGGATTGTGCACACAAAGGCTCATGAATGACGACACACCTGTGGGCTACTTCCCAGCACTGTGCAGCGAGCAAACGCATTTACCTGACATCACCAGTACCTGAGGTACTGAGCTGAGCAGTCCTGGGGACAGACATGTACTGGGGAAAGAAGTTATGCCAACGGTTGGGCTGGAATTACATCCCTGGGTTTGGCTGTCTTCTTTCAGACAATCCCCAGAGCATGCTCCAACATGGCAGAAATTTGGCAAGGCCTTCAAATCTCCTCCTCAAAACACATAAATGAATGTTTCAAATAACAACAATCAAGTTGTCATTGGTAAATGAATCTCAGAGTATGCACAGGTTTAAGAAAAAGCTAAGGACACAGAAAGTTTCTTGTAACTGTCTCAGGGCTCAGCAGTTATTTTTGCCTGTATCATTATTTTTAATCTGATACACCAAAATCTGGTCACCGGACCCATTAACTCACTGCATTTTCCTGGCATCTTCAACTTTCAATAGAAACTGACATTTGAGGTTATTATTCCCTATTCATTCCCAAGCGAAGTGATTACCCTCAACTCTTAGCGCAAAGAATGTGGTAGGCCCAACTATTTTTAATTTATCTAGTCATAAATATTTAATCTTCTTATGCTAAAAACGAATTCTATACTGGTATGGATAAATTCAACACTGAATAGGTCAATTAGAAAGTCCTTGAGGAAACCAAGTTCCCTTTGTACTTTAGATAAATTAAGTCTACCAGCACTTAACATATTTACACACCAAGTCCTCTAGTCTACATTCAGTTGGCTATCGTTTAATATCCCAATCAGTGAGGATGCTTGATATCAGAGCTCATTAAAAGCATGCTCAAGTAGAACCCAGTTCCTAGGTCAGCAGCCCCAGACTGCAGATAACTTGCTGTGGAATGATGGTAAATGCAAATCTCTAGGCCACATCAGAGATTCTGATTGGGTAATTATGAAGAAAGTTTTTAATCTAACTTCAATAAACACTCAATGGCATCTGCTCCAATTTGTGTACAGAACACTCTGAAAACTGCTTACACAGTCCAAGGAAATTTTGACTTTCAGTTTTTATACTCCCCAAAAAAGCTCTATCGATGCATAAAGCACAATGATGAACAATGCTAATTAGTCAGAATTATTGTGCTTTACAAATCTTAAGACTGCCATGAGTAAGAAACCCTGCTTCATTTTCCGACTTTCTCATTCTTCCTTAAATCACCAGTGAGAAATTTAAGAATGCACATTAAACCCAACATTCCACGAACATTCAGTATCTCCAAGTTGAAGCTAAAAGTAAACAAGCTCTAAATTAATTGAATCTTGTGTTGTTTGGAGGAAGTTCAGAGGACTGAAGGTCCTCAGACTTTAGGCAGCCATAGGGTTCCTTGAAAGCCCATTTTAAGAAACAACAGAAGACAGCTTGTCCTAAGACCTCTTCACACAAGAGAACAGGAAACAAGAGATTAAACTATAATGGCAGGTAAATAATTTCCTAGACTTCCGGGGATTCTTGGCAGCAAAGTGTTATGCTTTTGGGAAAAAAAAATCATCAGCCACCAAGTGACTAATATTTGTCAAGATGGGCTTGCAGCAGCTTGCGGTGTCTTTGTTCCCAAAGGACAGCTCTGAGCACACTGACTTTTTGCCATACTGCACCTTTTACACGGGAGCATGACTGAGTAACTCTCTATGTAATTTGATTCAGTAGGTCAGACATAGAAACTGGCATACCTGGATTTGAATTACTTGACCAAAAGAGTATGAAAAGCCCTACCAAATATGTACCTGAATCAAAACAGCATTTTTTTGTTTTTTGTTTTCCATCAACATAAAGAATCTGGTGTGATGGTGATGAACTGAGAATCTAAACCAAATATACACTAGAAAAAACAGCCAGAACCAATTAAGTCAAGAAAACCTTGTTTCCTGCTATACGGCTCCATCTGGGCATAGATATGTTCCATGTTTGACACTCAGTGTGTTGAACAAACTTGCTCCTCCAGTTTTGAGTATCTTTGGCATTCATTTTTAATACTGTATGTTAGGAAAAAATTCTAAGCATTAATCTTTTTTGGAATGTCTTCTAAAGAAGCTCAAAATAACAGACTAGAAATGCCCTGTAGAGCCAAGGCAAGCCAACGGGTCACTGGGAAGAACAGGCCGGCCAAGTCAAAGGACATTCTCATAAACTTAAAGCAACTCACACTCAAATACTCAGGTGTTGTCTGTCTTGACAGGTAGCATCATCTCTGAAAGCCACTGAACTCGCCTACTTGAAAGCAGCTGTCCTTAAAAGGGGACTTGTCCAGGAGCAAACTATTGGATTAGAATGCCTTGACAGAAATCGTGGCTTCTTGCATTTGAAAGAAACAAAAAACAGGTAAAATAAGATAAAACAAGCTCAGTTTAATTTCAAACGTTAATATATTTTCTATTTTATATTGAACATATGCATCTGTAACCCCTCATTTGCAGCAACCATCACATCCTCATAAAAGGGGCAAAATTTATGATGCCTCTTAAAATAAATATTCTTTTTTTATAAAATAATAAAACTTCAAATAAATATTCTTTACACTAAACAATATGTTGAAAAAATTAGAAAATAAAGGTTGAATTTTACTGTAACTGTACAATATACATCAAGTCCAAAGGGAAATCAGAGTCTTACAATAAAGGCTTCCTGTAAGGCAAAATACAATCTAAAAACATACTGATTGATTCACATTCTTCCGAATGTACAACATATTAGTATAATATTTTGTGACTGTGCCATGGAGTATAGCACAACTTGTTTGTTTTCACAGTTGCAAATATTATCGTATATACAAAAATATAGCACATTATCTCTGGAGAAAACAATGAGGGGGGATGTCATTTGCTAATTTACAAATTTTGCAAGGACTATTCACAAACAAAAAAAACTTTGCCTAGGAGTGTCTGCTGCTTTAGCTTATGCAGTATGTGGTCACCAACTTCCGTTCCCTTTCCTTGGAGTTCCATTAGCTGAGTTCTAGCAAGCGTATCAAGTTAAAAATGGCACATGGACAAAAAAAAAAAAAAAAAAAAAAGCATCTCACTGCAAACAACAAAACTCTAACCCTCTATGAACAGTGCCAAGATTACAACTGTTTTATTTAGTTGGTTGCATATGTGTGTTAAAAAAAAAAAGAGGGTGGGGAAACGATCCTTATTACTTAATATTCCTGATTACTAATGCTATGTCGGCTTTTCAAAGTTCCTGGGGGGGACAGTGGGAACTTTGCAGCAAACTGTGTTGGAGTTTTTACATCGGCATCCGGGCCTGTTCACGCGATCATAACACCCCTGGCACAATTTAAGGCAACCCTTGGCTGGAAGGTAACACCATAAACAAGGCAGAAAAAGAGACATGACACCCATCGCCGACCACCGGGTACAACAATGAGACTGGCTGCAGGAACACGGGTTGTCAGCACAATTGTCCTCATCGTCACTGGAGCAGTGATAGAAGAGACCCTTCACACAGCACACACAAGTCCCATAGTCAATCACGTTCTGGGCCGAGCAAAGGCACTGTTTGTCACAAATCCAGTCTGACGGCAGGGGCCTCGGGTAGGTGCACTCCTTACATTTGCACTTGCCACAGTCCTCACACCTGTAGGCATGCAGACCCAAATCTTCCTTGCTCAGTGGCTTACGCTCACCCGGCTTGAGCTCAGACTTAGGCTGCACCCGGATTATCCCATCAGCAGCCGCAGGCCCCGGGGAGAAGGATGATCCTAACAGTCTCTGTTCAGAGGAGCTGCTGCTGGTACTTGTCCTTGTACTGCTCCGAGACCCTGAGCTGACGGTGCTGATGGACCTGGACAGAGGGGCCCTCGAAGAATGGACCTGCGAGGGCTGGAGCCTGGGAGGCTGGCGGTGCTCGGGCAGACCATGGAGTCTTTCATGTTTGTGCTGAGTGGAGGGGCGAGGAGCAGGCTTGAGCCCAGGTCTTGGGACCACAGTAGGCCCCTCTGTATACTCATTGGTGTTTCGGATGGCTCTGATCTGATCCAGAGACAAGACATGTACCTGCTGGGTAAGGGCATCTCTGGGGTCCGGCTGCCCACGCTGCCTGCCACTGTCATGGGGCGCCTGCAGCAAAGGCTGCGACCCGTTGCCACTCTGAGCTCTGGCCTCCATCAGGTCTTGGTGGTGTGTTCACTCCAGCAGGCTGAGAACACATCTGAACTCCTGGAGAAACCAAGAGGAAAGAAAACGGTTTACACTCTACGACTTCCCACTCTCCACCCACCGGAATTGACTCTTCCCTTCCCACACATCCCCTGGAGAAATGGGAAATGCACTGGTGGTGGGCCAGGCCAGGAGAGCAGCCACATGACCAAGGCATGTACTCCACAGTGAAAATCCTGGCTGGCTGGACACTCACAGCTCTGTAATCTTGGGATGTGCAGCAACACAAAGCTAATCTTTGTGGGGGTCACTTAGCTAACAATCCTTTATTCAAAGAAACACACAATTTAGAAGTCTCGGGTTCAATGTGAAAATTGGAAGAAAAGTGAATGCTGGAACCTACCAGTGCTTCCAACATTTTCAGAGGTTAAATACCTTTCCGATTTTGAAACATGTTTGAATCTGCCATGACCGTTTTTTACACTAAACACCAAATACCTACAACAGCCTCGGTTTAAGTCAGCTTTTTACGTCACCCTTGCACCGAGTTGTCTAATCAGCACCTTTTCCCAATCCCATATGATATAAAAGTACATTTCGAGGACAACTAAGGTTGCGTGTTTAAAAATAAATACAGTAGTACGAAGTTATAGGATTAAAATAAGTCACTTCGAGTCCCATTAGGTATCACATGAAAACAAATTCATTAAGACCAAAACGTAATTTCCACAACTCGAGAATTAAATATCCTACAGACCTACGATTCCAGCTTTAGATTCTCAATCATTCTTCCTGTTTTATAAATAAACCATGCAAAAAATAACGCTATTTTCTCGTTTGAAAAATACCCAGAAACCACAAAGCAAGTAACAGCAATAGGAAAAGTTTTAAAAATCCGAAGTGTCACGGTTGAAACCTATCATTTTGTCAAGTAATCGCTTAAATCATAGTCATTCTTCGGTTTAAAAAGTACCATACCCTCTCCCAAGCCCTCATAAACATACAAAGGAAATAAGCAAAAACAGACTTTTAATCCAACCTTTGCTTTTTGGAGGAGGACAGAACAAGGCAGGTGACAAATGCCTCCTAATTCAGAACTACGCAGAGCTGGAAACCGGATCTGCTCACCTCCAACAGCAAGGTACACAAGGCTGTTCTTTGCTTTCACTCGGTTTATCGGCTCTATCGGCGCCCCCACACAGTCCGCAGCAGGTGGGACTCAGCCAGAACCCCGGGGACTTTTCTCCAGTCGGACTGACGCTGTCCAGGGGCCAGCCCGGCCCCTCCTGCGCGCAATCCCCAGAAGCACAGGCAGGCAGGGGGCGCGGGCGCCTCCGAAGGGGACGTGTCGTGAAATGCACGAGCACACTTCCCCCCTCCTCCACCCCCTCAGCTAAAATTTCCCCCAACCCAAGGGAACTGCCATCCAGCCCCAAGAGGGGGAGCCACTCCAACACGCCCACCCCCGCGGCAAGGTCACCACAAGGTGTTTCTGCGAAGGCCCTCAAAACGCCTGTCCCCACAAGTTTCCAAATCCGCCGCCCCGAGGAAGAGAGCCGGGCCGGGACGCACAGCTTGCACAGAAGTCTATGCACCCACGCTCCCAGAGACTCCAACGTGCAATGACCCAAGCGAGCACCGCTTGCCTGCAATCTGCACACGCCTACCTCCTTTCAGACCAAGAAGAAAAAGACGTATTTCTTAAAATGAAAGGAAAAAAAAAAAAAGCTTTATCCAGAGCCCCACTGCACACGCCAGGCGTGCAGGACTCAGACCCCTGGGATTGGAAACTTTCCGTGGGGACTTGCCGTGGAAAGCAGCATCTTTCGGAGGAAAAAAAAAGGGATTTCTACCGATCCCTGGCCGCCTCCGTCGCAGGCCCCCTCCACCCCCTGCGCTCTCCCAGTTCCTCTCCCTCCCCCTTTGAGAGTGCTTTGAAACCCCCATTAAGAACAGTGTGTGATCAGACTGAGGATTAGGGGGAAAGGACTACAGCACTAGGGTGGGGCAAACCGACACAGAAACCCCTTTGTAAAAAAGGCGTTAAGACTCCAAATCTTAAAAACAGTAACACAAAAGAGGGAGGGGGGAAACTTGCCCTCTTCTTTCTTTCTTTCTTTCTTTTTTTTTTTTTTGCCACCTACTTTCAGGTAATGGAAAACGATCGCGACCACTTGATAACTCTCTTCCTGTGCTAGGTCAGCCCAAGCGTCCAAATATAAAAAAAGCATGACCCAGGCCGACCACGAAGAACGGAAAAAAGAGAAAGCCGCACTTCCGAACCGCAGAGACGCGGCGCCAGGCTGGGCGACGCTCCCACCCGCACCGGGCTAGACTGTCCACACCGGGCAGAGGCGGGGACTCCCTCCGCCTGGCAACCTACCCTCTGCTTGTCCGCCGGGTCCTCTGCCCCGGTGAGGTGAGCAACCCAGTACCCCAGCCCCACAGGCGCCCCCCGCCGCAGGACAGGCTTTCCCACAAGTTGGCCTTCCACCGAAAGGAGGAACAGGTTAGCAACGTAAGAAGAGCCTGCAACAACGACCTGGAAAAACAGGGCTCTCGGCGACTAAGTCGCCGCCAGTGCAGGGGTAGGAGCAGAACGCAGTGGAGCGGTCCTCCGCCCCAAACCCCTTAGGGAGCGCGGTGTCGCGGGGGTGGGGGGCACTGCACCGGCGCACCCTGCAGCCCAGCCGTGGCCGAACCCATGTCCTAGGCGAAGCAGATCCACGGGGCAGCTCCCCGATCCTCCCGGGAAGCCTGCGGGTTTAGGGGGAGAGAGGAACCCGGACCCCACTCGCGGCCGGCTGTGGCTCCAGCCGGGGAAAAGCCAAACGCTCCTCACCGTGATCGCGGCTTTGCACCAACCCCTCTCCCTTGGATTCTCTTCTTTCTGCGATGTGCAAATAAATCCAGTCCCGATGCAAACTTTTCCCTTCTTTCCGAACTCTGCTTCAGTCCAACTTCCAAGTGATCGGTGGGAGGAGAAAAACAACCACGGGAAAATTTGGAACCCAATCCTCCACCGTTGGAACCCTCCCGGATTCCGGGCTAGAGAGATGACCTCCCTTACAGAAGAAGCGCACGCGGAGTATTCTTTTTTTTTTTTTTCTTTCCTTTTTTTTTTTTTTTTTCTCAATGAACAAGAGGCCGAAGCGCCGTGGTTGGCGAGTCTCTTTTTTTTTCCCCCTGGTCGACGAGAGAAAGAGAGGCGAACACGGCCTTACAAAGAACCTAAGGCCAGCAGCTCGCCAAGTCCCGGGGGCCCCGGGCTGCTTCCTCCGAGCGGAGGCTGGCGCGGGGCCGCGGGCCGGGCCGGGCGCGCGCGGGGGCCTGGGCGCTGCGCGCTCCGCCGGCCCCTGTCCTCCGCGGGCGCTGCGGCGCGCAGCTCTCGCTCGTGCAGACTGGGCGTTGCGGAGGCGCGGCGGCGAGGCCGAGGCGGGGGCGGGGGTGCGGAGGGGGAGGAGGCGGTGGGGGAGGAGGGTCTGGGGCCCGGGCGGGGATGGGGCGGGGGGGGGGGGTTGGGGGGGGAGGCGGAGAGCGGGGGGGCGGGGGGGGGCGCGCCGCTGGCCTGCGCCCTCGCCTTTCCGGAGGAGGCAGGGAGCTCTGCAGCGGCCGCGGCAGCAGTAAATGGCGTCATGTGGATCCGAGGCGGAACAGAGCAGTTGTTGTCCCAGAGGATATATCGCATCCGGTCCCAGCTCATTGGCTCCGCGGGGCTACATTCACTCACACTCCAGCGCCCGCCAGCGCTCCGAGCCGCAGGAGGCATTCAAAAGGGCAACCGCGCCGCCCCGCGCGTCCCCAGCCGCTCCTGCAGCCCGGGCGCCGTCACGCGGGGCCGCTCTGGCCACCGCGAGGTCAGTTTATCTAAGTTTCAAGGAAACACTGACCTTAAGGGTTTCCCCCCCTCCCCACCACCACCCCAAAGGCCACGAGCACGAGCCCCCCCCCAGGCTAGGCTGACTTAAGGGAACTTTCTCCCCTCGCTTCCCGGAGAGGAGAAGGGACGTTGCAAACTAACCCGGCCGCCGCACAGCGTTAGCTTGAAAAGCGACTTGCAGCTTTTTAAGATTTCGTTTGGGAGTCCATTTCGGTTCTACCTCTCGTCTCCTTTCGCCCGCCCCACCCCCTCCAATGCCCGGGGGGCGAAGAGGGTGGGGGGAGCAGGCGGGGGGGGAGGGAAAGGGGAGCGGGAAGTGAGGTGGGAGGGCTATTGGTTTATTCTTTGTCTACTGGATTAACCCGATTATACACCGGGCACCAGCACAAACCGCCTCCCCCACCTCCGAGCCTTGTACGGGAGGAACGGAATGCAGATTCGGGTTTCACGTCCCTTCAGCTCTGGCTGGGATTGGCTTTTGATTGTGTGGACTTGTAGTTTGTTAGAATTTCATTTTTAAGAAGGATTATCTATAGATGGAGGCCTTTTGAAGACTTTTTTGGTATTGTTTTGCTCGACGCAAAAGCTTTTTAAATTAATTCAGTAATACCCACGCGATTACTCAGGGCGACATCATGGACTTCCGAAATAGGGAGAGGGGGAGAGGCTCACCATTCCCCTGCAGAATTGAATTCCTCCTTCGCGGAGCCGTAAATAAAAGGAGAGTCGTCTTTCAAATCCCACTATTTGTCACCCAGAACATTCTCCTAGAAGTTCCTCTTGTTCGTGCTGCAAGTGGACTACGGTTAACCCCTTAAAATATAGAAAATACATAGGCTCTGGCCGCTGCTGGACGAAGAAAGGTGCCTGCACGTGGAAGCACCCAGCGGGTAGCTGAACTAGATCCACACACTAACGTTGCAATTGTAGCTGAGAATGTACAGAATGTTTTCCCTCCACCGCAAAAGTACCTGCTGTAAGGTCAAAATTCCCGCACAGCACCTGCGACCTTGCGCCATGCGAGGTTCCAGCCGCTGAAAGCCGGCGCTAGGGAAACGTGGAGTTTGATCTCTCTCGCTCCAGCCCTCAGCTGCTCGCTGATACCCTGGCCTCTAGCAGCCCTCTGGGGACGTATCTCTCTAGATTGTCCCTGTCACGTCATTTGCCTCGCTTGCGCGCTCGCCCTGCCCTCTCCGTGTTTCTCCACGGCTCTTCTCTCTCGCCTGGGGTTTGGAACTGGAGATGGCAGGGGAAGTGGCATGCGTTATTTCCGGGCGCTGGGCTACGTGCCCCCACCCCACGGCCGAGGGTGGCAGAGGCTTCGGCGGCCGGCTCCTTCGCTTCCTCGAGACTTTGGGCTCAGGACAGCCGGGCCTCTCGGGCCACCGCGGCTCGTGCGGCGTCCGAAACCGGGGGAGTCTCCGGCACGGGAGCGCAGGAGTCGCTGCGCTTCCCGATGGAGCCACCAGGGGGCGTGCGCCAGGCGCGGGGCTCGAACTGCTTTCTTTAGGACTCACTGCGGGTTGGAGGGGTTGCCTTTCAAAGGAGTGGGTCCGGCTGGCTTCGGGCTTTTAAGAGCTGTGTGGTATAAACGCCACGCAAGGTGGCATTTCTTACCATCGCCTTAGCCACATTCCCTTTGAGAATGAGCTGCTTCGATTCCGAAGAGCGTTAAGTTATCAGCCCAGGAGCTCGGGGGTCAAAGGCAGGCTGTGCTAGGCGGCTGGTGTGTGACCAGCAAGTGAGCTGGCCAGTGGAACACCTCCCTTCACCGTCTTGCACCCGGTGGCCGCTTCTTGGGAGACATTTGCCCCATGCCATTTCCTCTAGCGCTGCAGGAGCTCTGCCAAGAGGTCATTAGGAATCAAAGCATAAAACAGAATTTAAACCAGGAACTTCCGGATGCTTGGGAAAGAATCTAAGAATTCATACTTATCTTTCATAAATTAGAAAGGATTTTAGGCAATAATCTACTTCTCTTTTTCTTCCCAATAACCCCCACATTACTGTTTAGGAAAACATTTTACCGGTAACTTAAGACCAAAATAAATGTAAGAATCTGGATTCTTTTTAATTATTCCTTAGTCTTTATCTTACCTAATGCAATATTGTTTTTCAGTCAGTGAGGTGTATAAGCTACCATATTGTACTTCCAAAGACTGCTGTTAAAATAGAAAAGACGAATTGTATTTGTGCACACATTGTATATGCACAATGAGGAGTTTCATGAAACCATTGTGCCTCATCATCAGTTATGCTCACAAATTAAAACTGGGGTTAATTGTGGAAGAAAATCCAGGATAATGGCAGAGCTCAGATAAACATCATGAGAAAGTTCATTTTCAGATGTGTTGTGGAAAGTTCTAGAAAGAGAACCCTGATACAAGCACAGGTTTTACTACTTGTCAAACGCTGTAAAACAAGGCAAAGCAACAACAGCAAACAAACAAGTCCATGGGTCTCCACACTGCACTGATGCTCAACTCTAGGTTCCCAGGACTCATCAAGTAATATACCTCACCAGTGCTGGCTGTTGATTAGAATCTGTTGTGAGTCCTCAATTCTGGCTTCATTTTCTGAATTCATGTATTTGTAATCACAACCATAGTCTTATTCATTGGTTATTTTTAATGAAGCAGAGTGTAAACACTGGTGAATTTCACCTCCTCCAATCTTTGATAGAAGGTAGGTGAAGACTGTAAACACGCTCCACTCCGTTGGAGTTGTGTTGAGTGAGTAGAAACCTTGTTCAGGATGGTCTTTGTCAGCTAAACTAAGTTGTTTGGTTTTCTTTAAGGGGGAAAGTGGATCTTTAGATGGCTCTCAAGCCAGTTTCTTCCTGAGATTTGAATAAACCCCTTGACCTTCCTAGCTTTAGTCTTAGTTTTGAAAACTTTAGAGAAATCTTGCAAACATACAGTGTGCTTTTGAGACAAAGAATTGATAAGTATTTAGACGTTTTGTTCTATTACCAAAGGAGGTGGGATTTTTGTTTGTTTGTTTTGTATTCATATTTAAAGACAGGACAGAACACAGCAGTGTGTACTGTTTCCAGGGGTTCCAGTTTGGACCTTTCAGCCATCATTTCCTTTTACAGTCCGACCAGGACAGTAAGATTCGTTCATGCAAGGACTCTTCAGGGCCCTTCCTGCAGCAGCAAAGGACTTCGCAGTGGGCACCTTTTGATTTGTCAGCCACGACTGTTATCATTTTACGTTTTGAATTTCTTTGATTCCTCACATTCTGTTGATATTGCCTCCAGGAGGGGAATTGGGAGTGGCGTCAATAAAGAAGCAAAGGAATTCAAAATAGACCACTTGATGTCTTATCTAGATTGCTTGGAGGACTGGAAGTAGTTTATCTCTGAATCTAACCTTCTTTGCAGCTGTCCCTTATCCCTGACTAAACTGGGTACAAGATCTAGGGTTATACTAGGGTGAGAGGAGGTACTTGGGTAAGTGACCTGGAGCCGCAGACTCCCGTAGGTCTGGTGTTTTTCAGAGATCTCATATTTAGCTGGACTCTACCTGTGGTTTGTACTGGTTAATGAATGAATATTCCTGCCAGATGCTTGCGCATAGTTGCTACAAATGATACAAAGCCAGATAGGGGCTGAAAGTCTGTAACAAGGCAAGGAAAGAGTCTACCGCTGGCCTCATGAGTTTTCTCACTGCTTTTTCAATATATTTGTCCTTTGACTTAACAATTAAACTTCTTCCTTTGTGGGACTGATCTAGTCCTCTGTCCTCTCCACCTTACATTTACTTTTCTATATGTTTCTTAACCTTCGCTCCTTTTCATTCTAGAATATTTTTTTAAAACAGAGACGCTAAAGCCTAATATAAAAGAGAATGAGTAGTGGACATTAGTTTTCAGATATTACGGTTAATGTTTAGTAGCAGTAGGAAAATTTCGCTTCTGAATACATAGGATATTGTAGTTTGATTTTCAGACAAGGTCTCACTGTGTAGCTGAGTCTGGCTTGCACCTCTGTAATCCTCCTGCTTCTGCATCCCTAGTGCTAGGATTACAGGCAGGCAGACATGGGGTTCCACATCCCACATCCATGGATGTTTTA